TAGAATACCAGGTTGGCAAGGAGTTTTTTATAAAATATATTTTATTTATGAAGTGGTGAATGTGATGGTGATGTTAATGTCCACCCTGTGTGCTGTTTGAGGCTATTCAGTATCCTGAGTAACATGCTCTAGCTCTAGGCAATCCTGCTTCAGCAGGGAAGTTGGACTAGATGATCTCTGTGGTCCCTTCCAACTCTAAAATTCAGTGTAATTCAGAGAAATTCTTTACTTGCTGTATTCAATCAGCCATAGGAAACATAATTCAGGTGGGCTTCTTGGAATGTCACCTTCACAATATGGTAGCTGCAGTAGGAATGAAGGAGAAAGGAACTGTTCAGCTCTAGACTATTGCTTTACTGCTTGATAAAGTCAGTCAAAGTTTAGAAATGCATGCTTTCATTTTTCACTGTAGTTTTTCCTTGGCAGATAGCAAAAGTTTAGGCTGTTGAAAATAGTTTCCGGGCCTCGTTTTGCTGACTAAACATTGGGCCTTCTGAATGCTACATTACAACATTTTAAAGGTTGTTCTGGTTTTTGTGTTGGGTTTTTTTGTTTGGTTTTTTTCTTTTAATTCAAGCCAGTTAAATTACCACTGGTTTGAATAGTACATGTTCATTAGATCAGCTTGTCTTACTTCAGTATATTAACCACTAAAGAAAAAAAAATAGAGTTTCTGTAAGATACTGGATTAAATGCCACGTGGAGTGAGACATTTTCTGTGTGGGGAAGTTGCAACAATTTGTATCTTCCCTTTTTTAACACCATTTCAGTTAGAAACTAGGGTTTTTCACCCATCTGTCTGCAGACATATGTTTATTCAGCATATTTTTAGAAGCTGGGTCTAACTGTTATCCTTATGACTACAAACGTGATGTGGCAAATGAATTGAGAATGAACGGTGCTGTTATTTCCTAGATAGCCCCATTATTGCTGCTGCTGCAGAAGTTTTGTTGTAATTGGAGGTGGGCAATTTAGAACTTTCTGAGGACTACCAGTGAAACTGAGGTGTTATTTCAAAGTAAAAACAAGAGCATATCTGAAAACCCCTCATAGGAATAGGGTTACAAATGGAGACAATGGAGAGCTTTATCACTCTGCCTAGGGTAGCTCTGGTGCTTGAGGTTTGGAGATCGTTTCCTTTCAGTTACGAGACTTCAACCCTTCTGTACCAGTTTTCAGACTTGAAAAGAATAGCGTGCCGATTGAGTTTGTAACCTATAGCATAACCCAGTGGTAGAGCTGACAAAGACCCACTGGCAGTTCCAGATCAGATTTATGAGGATTTTACTACTTGTTGTCATCACTCTATCTCAGAAAAAAGAGGGAAAGAATCCATCAGGAAAGGAGTTACGGCATGGGTAGGTTAAAAAAAGTAATTTTTAAAGTGTAGCAAAAAACTGATTAAACTGTCTGTGATTCTGTGCAGTGTATGCTTCCATTCCCTTAAACTGCAGGGCATGGTCTGGGAGTAACTGGGTTATTTAGGTCTAATATTGGGAACACTGAGGCTTCAGGTCCAGTGAAGCTTTTTACCAGACAACCAAAGTAAGTGTTGATTAGTGATAATTTTAGTGGTAAAATTTGTGGGTTCTGGAAACTGAATTGAGAAGATGCGATGTCATATGGGTCACAAGACAATGACTTTCCTGAAAAATCAAATGGCAAAAATTCAGCATCTCTGTCATGAGGATCCTGGACAACCAGTTACATGTGTGGATATTTTAAGTGAGAAAGCTTTCTAAGCTAATAGGAATTCCCACACACACCTCAGGGTAAGATTTCTTTCTCAAATCTTGTGGCTATTTTGGAAGTCATTCTCTCTCCTTAGTAGGATTAGTGAGACTGAGTATGCAATCTGGCTTGCACTTTATACCAAGCCCCATTGAGATACAGCTCTAAAAAAGTCTCTACAAATTCTTATTTGTGAGTTTAAGTACTAAATGCTGCTTTTTTTTTTTCATTGTTGCCATATCAAAAACAAACTAATAGGAAGGGGGGGTTAGTGAGAAGTGTGAAATAGTTCCAGAAATAAAATGACTAGGACTACTTCCTCTCGTGGCAAAGGAGGAACAGAGGACAGGTAAAGGTTTGTTACATAGCTTGTATGGCAAATGTACATAGAGAAAACAACTGCTGGGTTGGTTTTTTTTGTTGTGTTGTATTTTCTGAGGGTTCCCCTCTTGTGTGGTAAGAGGAAAGCAAATCATTCCAAGTTCCCCTTCTGTGAAAAATTGAGGAATTCCTCACCAGTGGAATTCATGATGGTTCAAAATATAAATGGGCTGAAAGAGGGATTAGACAAAGTGAGATTAGGTTCAATAACAGTAATTAAACATAGTTCAAATGCAGTTCCTGGCCCTCTAATGCCGTACTACAGAAAACTAGGGGAGTATTACCAGAGAAATGCCTCACTGGAACATTTTTGAGTGTGGGGTTTTTTTTTTGTGGTTTGGGTTGGTTTTTTGTTTGTTTGGGTTTTGGTGGGGATTTTTTTTTTTAGCAAAATATGCAAATGTGCTGAGGATAATTAGTGAGACACAAAATGTGAAGTCAGGCTTTTATTCAATCTCTTTATAGTTTTTCATGCCTTGGGCTGCCTTTTAGGAAAATCAAAGCACATCCTACCCCAGTCTTACTATTTCCTTGGATCTTGAAATGTCATGCCCAAGTTGCACTGGTGTCTTTTGGTATTAAAATATTGGAAGAGTAGAATTTCTCCCAAAACTAAATAATATGCTGAAAGATGGCTCAAAGCAGGTATATGCAATTAATTAAAGCTAATGTTAAAATAAACATTACTGCTCTGAATTTCATTGCACTTTTTGATGCTTTGTGTAGTGTGTTGTTATCTCGGTAACTTTCCTCCATCTGGAACATTGTTTCAGACTGGTGTTTGAAGAACACAGAAAACACTGACTTATTCAGTGGGTGACGACTGTGACCTGCTTCTGCAAAAGCAGAATACTGATATCTGTTGAATATTTGCCGGTTCTTAAGATGTTCTTAATTACTATTGTGTAAAAGTGAACTTGTGTAAAGTTACGAGGGGGGAAAAAGAGATGTGATCGTGTGTAGTTAAAAAATAAATAAATAGAGTCTTCAAGTTCTTTAAAGCTGAAAATAGCGCAGGCATTTTATAACAGCCTGGGACTTTTAACATCTTCATGTTCTAAAACTGTGGTGCTGCTCAATCCAGGGATCTCTTTTGACTCACTGAACAGAACTGAGGTATTGGGAGAACTGAGGCATCTCACCGGAGGTTAGGAGGACTTGCACGTGCCTTAATGTTTTCAATAATGTAAAAAAATTATCTTCAGAACCATAGTGTCAGTATTGCTAGTGCTGCCAGAAGTTGTGCTGTGTGTACACCTCTTAACGAGGGGTATCAGGCTTCAAAATGGAGCTACGGGGTGAGATCCAAAGTCTGCCATAGCCCCGGCTGTAGCTCGTCTCTGCAAAGAGAGAAAGGTGGCAGTAACTGTAAGTATACCTGAATTGCAGCCTTGTTTTGCCAAATTCCTGATAGTTTAGTCCTGAACCAGTAGAGTGGTAGGTGTAATACCTGCAGGTAACAAGGATTATCTTATCTCTTGTCAGCCCCAGTGAGTAAATTGACTTTTAATGCTTGGGTTTGGCAGTCAAATAATGTAGACAGTTTACTCAGCCCACATAGAAAATACAGCAAACTCCTGTCCTGGGTAGAAGATACATGTATTTGCAGTTAAAGGTCATGGCTTCTGTCAGACTTGGAGGTGGTGAAGTTTCATGTTCTGCCTTGCATCTGCACGATCTGTGCAGAAGACTGGCATTATATGACTTTGCCCTAGTTTTTATAGTGTTGTCATAGCCTCTTGTCAGAGGGTGGAAGGGATTATGGATCCAGAACCAAGGCTCGGTTCCTGGTGCGTTGTCATCCCCGTTGGAAGAGGGGAGATCTGTCTGCTCCCCTTCTCTCTGCTGCCTGCTTTTGCTGCAGCTGCTGCGCTGCTTATCTGGTGTGCATCTCTGGTCATTGTTAGTTTTCTGCTGGGTTAGTGATGTGAACTGATTTATGGAGAGGCCTGGCAGAGCACGAGAGCCAGCGCGAGGGAGGGATTGGGCCTGAGTCCTTGGAGTCAGAAAGGGAGGTGGAGAAAGTCTCCATCAAAAGGAGGGGTCAGGAGATTAGATCGGTTCAGCGGCTTGTGGATCCGCAGCCTGAAACTGCTGCAAGAGGCCAGGGTTGAGGCAGGTAGTCTGGTTGAACGCATTGTTTTTCTTCAATTCTGGGGTTGGGTGAGTGTGCCTAGCTTCATTTTAGTGCCTTAATCTGCTACTGTGGTTGCATCTGCTGGGGAGCACTTTGCTGGTGCAGGAATGCACGTGCAGGTATATCCAGTGTGGGAAGGAACACCACCTGAGGTGGTCCTCATCATGTTAACCTGATCTCCCTTTCCCAGGGGAATTGTTAATTGTCAATACTAAATATTGAAGCTGCTTTAAGGGAATTCTGTTTTGGGTGGTTTGCTGAACTGCACATCTGTATGGTACATGGCTCACTGGTAGGCACAGCTTACTGCTATGGAGCTTTCATGTTGATTAGTGTCATTCATAAGTAAAGGAAGAATGTTTTAATAGCAAAGGACTGCTCTTGGAATGAAGAAATTGATGTTTAGTACATCTAGAAGCATCATTTAAACTTACTTTTAAATAGAAATATAACCTTGAAGATGGCTGTTGTCTTACCTGTCTTTTGCTTGCTGAAACTTTCCTTCTTTATGTAATAACCAGGAATAATGCATTTTCTTCATCTTGCTGGAAGAGCTGGTGGGTATACCCATGCTGTGCAGTGGAAAGCAGCGCAGGGCACTGTGCTCCCATGGGCTACATAAGCTAACACCCACACACTGTTCAGGGTTGTGCTGTGTGGAACCTACTTGCTGACCTGAAACTGCTTCTAAGGCTCCTTGCTGAGTAGTGTTTCATTGCACTGTCCCCGGTGGTGGTGGTGATGAAATTTGCCCCTTTATTTGAAAGGGAAATGATGGAATCCTTTTGCAATAACAAGTAATACCTTTTAAGGTGTTAGGTTTTAAGTACTCACCAGCAATCTGTCTGGCTGCATAATTTATCATGGGCTTCAATACCCAAGAGCAAGGAAGATGACTTTTCTATCAGTATTACGACACGTGAGGTAACAGTCCTTTCCCTTTTGTAGCTTCCTCTGAAGGCTAATTCTTCAGTTTCATGCTGAATGTATACTCTTAGTGCACTGCAAGGGGGAACCTGGAATGGATATTCATCTCTCCGCAGACACTAAGTGTGTAGAGTTTCAATGTGCAACAATTGGGCATCTTAGTAAGAGGCTCCACTGCTTAGGAACTTTAATTTAAACCTCAATAAAAATCAACAAATGTGATCAATACTTGGTCTATGAATGTATTGTTTCTTTGATACTTATATTACTAAATAAAAACCTGGAATAAAAGAAAGTTGTACTCATTTAGGAAAGTTGTCTTATGATATTTCAGTTAATGTGTAAGCAAGCAGTTAATCCTCTGGTATTTTAAGCACTCGAGTGTTTTGTTGAATATAAGCAGAATGAAATAAGTTAGATACAAACTTGGTCTGGCTTCTCAGGAAGGAGGATTTTTTGTTGCTTCATTGGTAAAATTGTTAGGACTAACTGTCAAAATTTATCCATTTGCTTCATACTTATCAATGCCCTTTATGTTTTGATGATCTTTCCAAAAGAGCACCTGCTTGTCTTACCTTGAAGGTTTTTACTCTTTATGACAATATCTACAACTCAAATGAAGTAGTGCCTTCCTAAAAGTAGGAGGAAAGAGAAACTGTCATAGCTCTGGGCAGTGGCCAGCATCTGCCAAAATCTGGATCTTGAAGCAGTTTCCAAGTGTTCAGAATTCCTGTTTGGATTGATTATAGGCTGCACTCACCGACTACAAATCTAGGTGTGTTTGTTTTGACATCCTGGTATAGAGGGCTAGGTCATGCACCATCTAAATCTGAACCATTTCCTTGTCCCTATCCTAGAGACGGTTGCTTTTTCTGAACTTCTAAATATGCTTCACTTTTTTAGCCACTTTTTAGCAACGTCTGCCTTTCTCTTGCCTTTTTGTCTCCTATAGCTAAACCTCAGTTGGAGGTTTAAGCTTATTTTTGTGCAGAGCAATGTCTTAGCAGCATCAGTTTACAAAAAACCAACAAAGCAACCTGACTTAAAGCTGTCATCATGTTTCCCATGCTAACTTTGTGAAGTCATTACAGAAAATCGAGTGCTGTAACATTGATAGTCAGAGTTCTTCTGCAGGATCCTAACTCCAGTGTGAGAAGTTCGAACTGATGAATCATGTGTTCCCTCAGTTAGGGGTTACATTCTTGGTTTTGACCTTGAGATTGGCCTCCTTCAGATGTAACTCCGGTCTTTTGTCAAGGAGCATCACGGCCCCTGTTTGTGTAAATTCTTGCCCCCAGAAAAGTGTTTCTTGTATACTTGACTCCTGGAACTGGGTGAACTGTGCATACTCTGTTTTCAAGAAGTGTTTGGACAATGCTTTTGGATATATGGTTTAACTTCTGGGTTGCCCTGTGCAGAGTCAAGAGTTGGACCAGATCCCCATCGGTCCCTTCCAGGTGAGGAGAGTGATCCTGTGACTCTCACTTTACACCAACTCTTCTAGACTTCTGAGTAGGTTCCTTGCAGGCATTTGCAATACTTTCACTGTTGAGATAAAGCATAAAATAATACTGTTTAAAAACAACCTGTGAAAAGCTGCTCACCATTTTACATTAGTGTTATTTGGACTTACAGCTTCTGGGGTGTTTGGAATCTTTTCTTGTAGCTCATGGCTTCTTTGTAATGCCCGTTTTCTTCTGTTGCAGTTTATCTTGTTTTATTGATCGCTGCCTCATCCTACAGTGAAGCTGTTTCTCTTCCCAGGTTTTGCTGGCTTGCCTTTTCCATCCATCTCTTGATGCCAGTGCAGCTTTTGTGGCTCCATAAATCCGTTCCTTTCTGTCGATACCTTAGCTTTGGCTGCAGTGAAGTGTAAGAGTGGAATGGAGCTGAAGAAGGTAACTCCTCCCTCTTTTCCCCACCATCCCTGCAAATCAACCTTTCCAAATAGTGTAGCTGTAGCAGAACCTTGGTTTATCCAGAGTATGGTTAATGTTAACCCTTTTTTTTTTTCTATCCCCGTGGATGTTTTCTAAAGGCTTTGAAGAAATGTATTTTATGTATGTAGTGATACTGGCACATAACTCTGCACAGCTGGAAGTTGCATAAGCAGAAATGTGATTTGTACAAATTTGGAACTGATTGCTAAAACAGTCTTTGTATCGGGGTGGCTGAGAAGTTGAAAACAGGCATTGAAAAACTGTGTCAGATCACCTTTGAGTGTAGGTAACTCTCTTCACCTTACCTGCTGAAGTTGGAATAAATTCCTGCAAGTTTTTCTGTTCCTGAGGTTGTTTTCTGATCTGCTTTACCAATATACAGTGTTTATTCTTACATTTTGCTTTTCCTGATACCTAGTCTTTTCTTTTTTTAATGCCTAGAGTAGCAGGACTTTTTTCAAATAGAGTATTGCTTCGTACTGCTCATTGTATTTCTCCAACAAAATGCATATAAAAATGCAGCAGATAAGGAAGCCAGAAACAAACTAAAAGGGATCTGGTTCATGCTTCAGTGTAACAGACCTTCCATTCTGAGCAGTCAAAGGAAGCAGCTGGGAATTTTTGTAATATTAATGCTGATAGAAGAAGCTATTACTGGAACAGGAGAAAGTTCTTGTGATCTGTCCAGATGGCTGTCACTAAGCAGTAAGCAGGAAATGTGCACTGTCTTGTGCTCCACGATGCTGCTCCTTAGCAGGATGGCCAGCACACAACATCTCTCTCGTGCTGGCACTCGGGTCAATCACTGCAGCCTCAGCAAAGCAGATAAAGAAATGAGATTTGCTTTCAGACATGGGCTCTGGGAGCTTACTATTTAAAAAAAAAACAACAACAAACAAACCAAAAAACCCACAACAAACAACAAAACCCACAACCAGAAACCTCCAAACAAAACGAAAAAAGCACCACCCAACAAACCCCCCAAAACAAAACACCTCAAACCTGGACTAGCAGCAACTTTACAAATGCAACACACACACCCCCCAGCCATTGTGGCGAGGGTTTTGTGATAAATTCACTTCAGTTGATGTGAAATTGCCAATCTGGCATCCTTTTATTAATTCTTGTCTTCAGGTGTAATGATTAAAGCTAGTACCTAATAATTGCAAGCGGAGGATTTTATTTCAATTTCTGGAAATAGCCTTCCTGGAGTCTGATTGCTTTCTGGTTGCTTTCAGTTCAGGAACCTCGATCTAATGCTGTGAGTTAGTGTTTAATACAACCTGTCTTTGTCTAGTTAAGAAATCGATACTTTTTTTTTTAACAAAGCAGTTTTTTTAACCCTTTTTCACTTGGTAACCTTTAGTATTTTTTTATATTCTTAAAGAATTATGTTCTTGACAAGTCAATTATAAACACGTATGGGGTAGCTTTTGATTACAAGAGAGAAGAATACGTTCAGGCAAAATTGCCAGGGGGTGTGTTTGTATCTCCTCTCTTAGCTGTATTCATAATGAATGTTACTTGTGACCTATTCTCAGAAATACTGATTTTTATCCCCGATATTGGATAATTTTTTTAAAAAGGAGACTAAGTTATACTGGAAGTATCTACATGTGGGAATGATAGCATTTACTGTGCTTTATGTGATGGAATCACTGTTACCTTGCCAGACTGGTACTTTTTCTGACTAAAAGTTCTACCAAGTCTAACAGTAAATGGATCTTTTTCTGCCTATGGTCCCTGTCTCGTTTGCTGCGGGGGATTGCAAGGCTTCAGGTGAAAAACGGGAAGATCAGGGAAGACCTTGTAGTTACAGAATTTGAGTGCTTACCCAAGAGACTCAGTGATTTGAAGGATTTTAAGTGATTGAAATAATGTCTTTGCAAAGGGTGTTCAGACAATCTCAGGTCAAACATCGAGATGATTTACAGAGGTGTTGAATGCTCAGCAGAGCTGTGTGGTGCTGTGTATCCTGGAAAATCAGGCTGTGGCCAAGCTCTTGCCAATCCTGTGTGTGTTAGCTATTACTGGGGGGGAGCTTCTCACAAGGTGGTGAGACAAGGGGGTCTGGGGAGCCCTGGGATCACTGGTCAAATACTGTGCCATATTTGAGGGAGAAGTGCTGTAGAGACAGGCTGGATAAGCACTGATGTGCAGGCTGAAGTGCATGGAACAGTACAAAACACGGGACAGCTGCTCTTCCAGTATTTTTGTGTGTACTGAAAGGGAAGCGGAGAAAAACAGTACATAATGATCTGGTTTTAGTGGAAGCTGCTGGGGCTGTTGAAGGAGGAAGATAAGTTTCTTTGAACTCCGTGTGGCCAGCCAGTACTTTCTGACAGTTCAGCTGTTTAGCTTAAATGATGGTACAGACCACAAGAATGTGTTGTTTTGCTTTGGTTTTTTGTGTCTTTGAGATATAGAAGAAAACAACTTTAAAATTACAACAGCAAACTTCATAGCTGTCTGAGAACAGGGTGCTAAATAAAGTAGATCTGGCCTGAGCATATACAAATATAAATATGCAGCTGGTAAATGAGGCCAAATGAAGAAAGGGTAGGGATTTTTCTCTTGAGTAGTCCAGTATTTCTAGGAGTGGCTTTTTACTTAAATTCAAAGATATTCCCTCACTTTGGATGTAATGGGAATCCAGAGGTCAAATGAGGGAGGAAAAAAACAAATTACTGATTATTTACCTGTTGTTTTCTTACTAAATTTTGTTTAGCTTGCTGAGGAGTAGAAGAAAGTTAGGTCAAACCAGAGGAAACTAAGGGTCAGTCTATCTCAAGTGTATGGTAATGGCTGGAAATAAAATGAAGAGTAAGTAGAAGGTGTACTTCTCAAGTGTACCTTCCTGAAGGCTCTTGCTCTGTCACTCTAGGACCTCTGAGGCAGTGTTTACAGCTGAGCTGAACAGCCATTACAAACCCTTTATGTCATTAAGATTTTTCTGGTCTTCCAGTAATCATTTGTACTCCTGGCAATTGAAAGTGTCATCGACAATGAGTTCTGTGTCTTGTCTTAAATGTAGTCTTGCTAACTTTCTTACTCATTCTGAATTATTTCCTACTCTGACTTCTGGATTTAGAATGGCTTGTTAAATTTTGTGTAGCTTGTACACTGCTATCCCCCATGGCTAGTAAATAGTTTGATAAGCTCTACTTTAGAGGAACACATTGTTTTCACGTTGCTCCTTGTACTGTGCTCCTTTCATTCTGACTGACATCTCTGGAAGAAGGAGGGATTGATCCATTTTCTCTCTCAGTAAAAATTGGAGGTGGGTCACGGAATAACCTTTCCTTCAGCAAAGAGAGGTAGACTTACTATTCCTGGTCTTACATATATGGGAAAACTCTCTTTTTTTTTTTTGATCTCTCTTAATTTTCTTTTTCCTTCCTAGGAATAATTGCACTTGCACTTTCTGCTGCCATTCATTTCCTCTTCTAGTTGGAGGGAAAAAAAAAAAGAAAATTCATGTTCTCCTCTGCAGAGATCTGAATAGCAGGAATGCAGCTGGCCAGCTTTTGTCAGCCTCTCTCCCAAGGAGCAGCCAAGTGAAATGGACAGATACGAATTGTGTGCTCTAAAAATCAGCTCTGCTTATTATGTAGTTGGAAGGTATAAGAGTGCAAGTATAAAAGCTTGAAACTTAACTTAAAAATAACTGACCTTATCGTATAGCAATTTATTCTATACCCTTAAGCTCACCTTACTAGCAGGAAAAAAAAAGTGTCTCTGCCTGCCTTGCCAAGCTGAGGGTTCAGATTCTAATTATTATACAGTCAAGTGTTTCAAGGAGACTTAAATGAGACGCAAAAACTGCTGGCTAATTTAGACGCACTGTGAAATGCTATGTAAAATTCCTCAGCAGCGAATGGAAATTTTACATTCTTGCTAGCTGCTTGTTTGCTGACGAAACCCCAACCCCTGCTAGCTGTAGGTGTGCATGTATTAGAGGTAGATTAGGTTTTGCGCTTTTTTGGGGTGTAGGCAACCTATTTTTAGGGTACTAACTTGCACATTCTTCATCTGAAAGTAGTTTGCATTTTAATGAGATCAAGAACTTGAAAAAGGCTAAAAATCTGTGATTTTTTTTTTCTCTTTCCAGATATGAGAAATGAGTGTTGGACGCAGAAGACTAAAGCTGCTGGGAATTCTGATGATGGTAAACATTTTTATTTATGTGATAGTGGAAGTCTCAAAAAGCGGCAGCCAAGAGAAGAATGCAAAAGGCCGTGTTATTATACCACAGAGCAAATTCTGGAGAAAATATACTCCTCACAAAGCTTATTGGAACAAACAGCAACAGAAGCTTGAACTGCTGTACAACCCTATTCTGACCTTGCTTTCCAATATGACTGTGGAAGAGAACTTGGCTTTGAACTCGAGCTTCCTCAGTTCCTGTGACCCTGATCCGTGGGTACCTTCAGAGGTTAATGACTTTGCAGACTTGCCAGACAGATTCAAAGACTTCCTACTTTATTTGAGATGTAGAAATTATTCTTTGTTAATGGATCAGCCAAACAAGTGCAAACATAAACCTTTTCTGCTGCTGGCTATAAAGTCACTTACACCCCATTTTGATCGAAGGCAAGCAATCAGGGAATCCTGGGGCAAGGAAATAGAATCGGGGGATGTGACAGTCAAAAGGGTCTTCTTACTTGGACAGACCCCACCGGAGGATCATTTTCCTAATCTTTCAGGCATGCTAAAATTTGAGAGCGAAACCTACCAAGACATTCTCCTCTGGAACTACAGAGACACTTTCTTCAATTTAACTCTGAAAGAGGTGCTGTTTCTGAAGTGGGTCAGCAGCAGTTGCGCAGATGTCCAGTTTATCTTTAAGGGTGATGACGACGTTTTTGTGAATACCCATCAGATCCTGGATTACTTGAAGAGCTTATCAAAGGACAAAGCCAAAGACTTATTTATAGGTGATGTGATCAAAGATGCTGGACCTCATAGAGAAAAAAAATTGAAGTACTACATCCCAGAAAGTGTTTATGAGGGTTCGTATCCTCCATATGCGGGAGGCGGTGGGTTTCTGTACTCTGGTGACCTGGCATTAAGACTGAATAATGCATCTGACCAGGTACTCCTTTACCCTATTGATGATGTTTATACTGGAATGTGCCTTCAGAAGCTTGGGCTTGCTCCGGAAAAACACAAAGGTTTCAAAACATTTGATATCGAAGAGAAATACAGAAATAACATATGCTCCTACACAAACTTGATGTTAGTACATAGTAGAAAACCTCAAGAAATGATTAAGATTTGGACACGCTTGCAAGATCCACACTTAAATTGTTAAAGTGGTGTGCATAAGTGTCTTAAGTCCAAATAACTTTCCAAGTTTGGGTCTGACTTCCTCGGTGGACCATTGAAGCTCTGTTTAATAGTTTAATTTCCTCTGGAGACTTTCCTGTGCTCTTGAAAATGAGAATAATACTAAAATTTGGGGGGATGGCTTGAAGACTTGGTCCTGACTTTTCCACTGTCCTGGTGGTCATTATGTTTCAATACTTGTCTTAATTTTAAAAAGCTTCAATGATGTGACTAGCTGTCAGTGACGGGTTTAGCTGTATTGGAAACAGGGATTGCCTACTACAATGCATCTTTATTAATTGTGATGGTGGAAGGTAATTTTTCCTTGAGTAGTGTTTGTGTGTGGGTGTGTGGAAACAACTGTAAATTGAGAATTCACAAATCGGAGGAATGTAGTTTTACTTCAAGTATGAAACACTCTTAAGACTTTAACTATTGGGGTTTTTTTTTAATTTATAGTTTTCAGTCTTTTTGCACCTCAGAACAGTATTTTTTCCTTTACAGTTTTTTTTTGTGCGAAGTGTGACTGTGTCTGAAGGAATTACCCTTTTATTAGATTATGCTTTTTTAGTTAAAAAAACCAAAAACCAACCACAACATAGTACTGTTTGAAGCACCCAATAAAAAAGTGAAATACCTAAGGAGAAGGAAGAGCAGATTTTGTTTGAAGCCAAGCAGTAGGTACGGTTAGCTCTGAGCCCTGCCTCAGGCTTATGTGAGGTAAAGCTGACTTGTTGCTCATGTTATTTATGTGAAAAGCTACTCTGGTCAGTCCTGGTTCTCTGTTTTGGCACTAAATGTGATCAGGTAGCTTGATTTGACACAAATAACTGAAATTGCACATTGCTTACGAGAGCATGGTTTGGATCTCCTATAAAGCAGTAGCAAATCTAGAGTTGCGCAGATCCTAAGAGTTTCAACTTTTGAAACAAACTTTGAAGTTGCATGATGTCTCATGTAGTTACACATGTTCTCAAAACTTGGATTTTCTTCTATATTTCCACATCTTGCTTATAAGAGTTATTCTAAATAGTGGTTGCTTCCTTTGTATATGTAGAAGTGCCTGTCTATTTATTGTTCAGATTGAAGACCAAAACATTTTCTTAAATATATTTTGTGTTACATTTTATTTGTATAGTGTTGTCACTCAGATATTTAAATAGAGCATGATATTTTAAATCTGTGAGATGTGTAACGTCAAATAAAGCTAATTGTTATTTTTGAATTTGAAAAATAAAATGTGATTTAAGTATTTCCTGTAATGCTTTATTTGAGACGATGTTGACTTACTGAATGCCACGCAGTAGCTATAACAACACAACAGTTGTAGAATTTCAGAAGCAAAAGGCTTTATCTGGCAACTTTATGGCTTCTGTAGCAGACTGTCAAGAAAGTGTTGTCCCAGTTGCGTGTGGATTTGTTAGGTGCTGTAACAGAGAAACAACTCTGGCAAAAGCAAGGGAACACCAAGTGCCTTAGGAAAAATAGTAGGTACAGAAATAATTGCCTCTGCAATAATGCTGCTTATACAGTTGAAAGGAGCCAAGGAATGGATTGAATGGCCGACACTTTGGTTTTTGTTTGAAATGACTTGGCAGCTACAGCTCCTCTGGCTGCTTCACCTGCTTACTTGTCCCTTTGTTTACCTTGAACAGATGTGGCACTTTTTTTGGTTTGGGGAGCGGTGAGGTGCTCTGGTCTTCTGCCTTTGTGTTCTGTAGTTGTTGATGTTGACACCAGGATGGGTAGATTAAAGCCAGACCGTGCTCTGGTGCTGTGCCAGGAGGTTTGGCCCCAGTGCCTTGTCCCTCCTCGTGAGAAATGACACCTTTCTGAAATAGCTGCAGGTTTTACTGTATATGTGTTACTTCCTGCGCCGTTCTTCCTCACCATGCAAAGCACCTTGTTTCCTTCTAAATATTAGTGGGATTTTTGTCAAGAGTTGGGCAAAGTGGGGGGAAAAAAAAAAGAAAGTGTGATGGGGAGCACAAGTAGAGATGTGATGTTAAGAGTCTTCGTGGACTAGAGAGAGAGGAGAAGCCCCGTGGGTGAGCAGAAACGGGTGTCGATACGTAGGAGAGGCGGCTGAGCCCATGTAAATGTAGTGGTAAGTTCCAGGGCAGGATCAAACACAAACAAGAGTGGGTTGCAGGAAACAAAGCGACAGGAAAAGAGCCTAAGAATTAAATCTCATGAGTAAGATGGGGTGGAGCGCACATGTGATATCCACCTGTTAGTGAAATGGGTGGGATTGCTGGAGTGCCAGCACTAATTATTTACTGGATACCCTTCCTGTAGCCATGAGATCAAAACCAGGCCTCCTGTATGGGGCACAACTGAGAGTAAGGAAAACCAGGCTGGTGGTACCTGCCAAGGAGAAATGCTGTGGGAAAGCAGAGAAGGGAAAGAGGGGAGAGGAAGAGACTGAGTGGACTCAATAGGTAAAAGGTTCTGGAGAAGAAATTGGACAGACTGGTTTTGTTTACTTGGGGTGTGGAGAAGAAGCAGTGACTCTACTGTCCGACTGGGTCTCCAGTCAGGAAAGAATTCTCTTGACAAAGAGTTGGGAGCGCGTGGAGTAAGGAATAAGCAGAATAAATAGAAAACAGAGAGAAGGAAACAAAATGGAACCAAAAGAAACCATGTGTGGTGGGAATGGGATTTGGGGACAACTGTGAATGGAAGATGGAAAGCCTTTAAAAAGGGAATGCAGCATTAAGTTGTATGTTTGGGGTTTGTTTGGGTTTTGTTGTTTGGGTTTGGTTTTTCTTTTGGTTGCTGGTTCCTGGTTTTTGGAGCGTCGCTTGAGTACTAGGTACTTGAAATGAAAAGTGAAAGTAATGTAATTACAATGGGAATAATCTTTCTTTAGTATGAACTGTTTTCCTATGAAGTAAATCTGGAATTGAGAAGACAATGAGCAAAACCTGGTAGCAAGTATAAAATAAATAAACAATATACAAGAGACTTTTTGCAACTAAAAAGTGATCTGAGAAATATAGGGAGCTAAAAATGGATTACCTTTTTTTCTTAAAATTAGGGGAAAGAGTCTACTAAGAAGAAAGCGTGAGAAACTACAATGACAATAATGGAATTTGAGAACTGAAATAAGAGGTGTTTAGATGAGAGGGTCGAAGGTGGATGCAGTCTTTATTATTATTTTTTTTTTTTCCTTCCCTGAATACAACAGGGAAAATGAAGTGCTGCTGTGATTAAATGACGTTGCATCAGGGTGAGCCATTAGAGCCCATTAGCTTGTTTGTATAAAGGCTCAGGCCTTTGCTTCTGAATCCAGTTGGGAGGAGGAAATACAGGCCTTTGGATAAGGAAGGTAAATGAGCTATAATTAATGCACAAATTATGATGTTTACCTTCTAAACGATGGAGTCCCCCTTTTTTTTTTTTTCCTAAACAGAATTTTTCTGCCAGTCGGTTACTCGGACTGAATGCACTTACACTTGGATCCCT